ATATCGCTTATTCTTTTACAAAAGAATGTTCTCAATATTTCATGTACGAATATGAGAACTACATAAGACATTAAAATTTTTGCTTCATAAATTAAACATAATTTATAAACCAGCTAACAGGTAATATCAGGACAGTAGGAGAAACAAGAGAGACCCTGCCTCAAACAAGGCGATTCTCCTGCCGCCTCCCATCTTACCGTAGGCATGCCGGGATTACAGACACTTGCTACTGTGCCTGGCTTTTCATAAGGCTTTAGGTGGCAGGAGGATCTAACTCCGTTTACTGGGCTTGCAGGGCAAGCGCTTTTACCCACCAAGCCCTCCCTCTGAGTGCCTTCTGAACTTGATCCTTTCTTTTCTCTTTCCAGAACTTCATCGACACAAAAGATCTTTCTGTTTCAGTCTCATGGTCCCTGACTTTATTCCTACTTTTCCTTCTTCAGTACTTTCTCTCCTGTCATTAAGGTTGGGTGTTTTGTGTTGTTTCTTCTGGTTTGATGACGTTTTCCCTGTTGTCCACTCCATTCACATGTTTATTCCACCTGCTTTTTAATTGGCTGCTATATTTTTCAAGTTGACAATTTCCCTTGGTTTCCCTTTATAACGTCTATTTCTGGACTCATTCTCCCTCCTTCCCGCCCTCATTTCAAGATGATTGTTTGTGACTGCTTTTTGAAACAATCTGTGATTGCTGCTTTAAAACTTTTCAATTAAAACGGGTCGAATAAGAACTTAGAACTCAAGGTTGAATTTGGGCTTAATTTAACTTGGAGTTAACACAGGTTGATTTTCCTCTTAGGCTTTATTTACTTATTTATTTATTATTTATTTATTTTGAGACAACTTTTGGTACGTAGCTCTAGCTGGCTTGGCACTTCTTATTAGCCTAGGCTGTCCTTGAACTCAGTCATCCTCCTGCCTCCGCCTCCCAAGTGCTGGGATAATTAGGCATGAACCTCCACACTGGCAATATGATGATTTTTTTGTGTTTTGTTTTTCTTTAGTATTTTATTTTTTGACAGTTTCATACATGTATATATTGAATTTTAGTTCCTTTACCCTGTCTCAGCCCCTCTTTATCTCCTGCTGGAACCCTTCTTCCTGACAAATCCCTCTCCTACTTTGATGTGTGTGTGACCCACGGAGTTTTAATCGGGCTGCCTAGGTGAGCTCAGGTGGGCAGTTGTCAGCGCCTAAGGCTACACCGCTGAAGGAATGACACCCTTTCCCCAGTCACTGTGAACACAGGGCGGGAAACAATGATTTCATGGCAGCCAGGAAGCAAAAGGGGGAGGGGCCAAGGTCGTTGGACACTTTCCCAGAGCACCACGGCCCAAGGTCTTCCACTGGACTCCGCCTCCTAAAGGCTTTTCAGCCCCTAGTAGTGCAGTGACAAGGCTGCAATCTTGGGTCTTTGGTTGTCATTCAAGATGCAGTTGTGAAGCAGAAGCTGATGTGCAGAGCCTGTCACAATCTCAGGGGCGTTCACAAACGGCATCCTCGTTCCTGACAGTGGTCCTGTGGCGTGGGTTGCTCCTATGGGCAGAGTGAAGTCTTGCAGAGCTGAAATGACTTCTCCATAGTCACTCTGATGCTCATTTGACTCTTTCTTCGGGTTCTGTAAAATATGAGTTTAAAGAGAAAAAAACAGTGTAAAGAAAAAGGACATCCTTTACATGTACAATGGAAAAGTTAATTCATCGCTTAAGAGTTGACATGAGGGAAATGTAAGTAAACTCAACTTCACAAAGGCTCAGACACGTTTGGGGGGTAATTGCTTGATACATTTTTGTTAAAGAAAAATAATATCCTGGAGCATCCTTTCTATTATATTCCCACTATTAGGAGCCACAGGGCCCTTCAGGAGGGGACTTTAACTCCTGAGGCGGACATCATAGAGTCCTGGGAGACCATTCTAGTGACAAGATGATTAGTTTCACTCTTAACCCCACTGACCAAGCAGAGATTCTCAGGGATGCTGACCAGAAAGGGTTTCTCCTTGAGTTTACTGGTTCATCTTCCACTCTGGTGGAACTGGGGATGTTGCCTGTAACCCTGGTCCATATGAATGAGGTTTCTTTATCCCCTGAAGCTACACGGGATCCACGCCACCTAGTTCTAGGTGCCCTGTCTTCACAGAGCCCCTTGGGGTGCTTCAGGGAAGGCACTGTGGGATGAGGTGTCTGAATTGACTTCCTCTCAGGCCAGGCCTACAATGGGTGTCTGTCATGTGTAACACAGGAGGAAGTGACCCTTGCAGAGAACAGAGAAGCCTGGGCAGGAGGAGGCAGCTAGGTGGAGCTCAAAGCACTGACTTGCCAATGTGATTTTAGCCAATTGGACAAAGAGTTCTCTGCTGATGCTTCTGTTGCTAGCTGAGAAGTCTGTGTGCGGAGGCCTGGGAAAGCTGGACATCCCCTGTATGATCCAGCCATCCTTTGCAGCCCAGGATAAAGCTGAGGGAGCTTTCCCCTGTAAAACAGGAGCAGGGGTGGGCAGAGCCCTCAGCTGGTGGGAGGTCCTGGGGGCTAAGGACACTGAGGGCCTCTTCAAGGTCCCTAGGAATATGACTTTGTGTCTCGACCCTGCTTGGGGTCTGAGTGTGCCCTTTTTGTGTGCTCCCAGTGTCCCTGGGGAGACTCCCAGCCGAGGCTACCCCTTCCGGACACACTGCTGGTGGAGCCCAGCCACACCCTCCCTCAGTGCTCACGGCTGTGACCTAACAGAATGTCCGAGTTACTCGCGCTGTCATGAGCCCTAAAGGAATTTTCTTGTTTCTTCTCTATCTCTTTTATTTACCCATTAAGTTCTTACCATTTTGCTTTTAGATTCAGCCCCTGTTTAAGAAGAAAAATCTAGACTACAGAGATAGAGCACAGAAAAGGAGACGATACTGCCCTGGTTTAGTCACTGATGTTTGCAGGCACTGTTCCAGCTGACTTAAGCTTAGACATTCTGAATGAAAGTTCTCAGAAAAGACCTGCATCTTCAACTGAACTGTCTGCAAGGCTGATCAACTGATTAGAGCTTCAGTGACTGGAGAGTTTAAAATGCTGCAGGTCCAGAGCCCAGTTACAATTTCTTTCGGGCTATTCTTCACCTCCTAAATAGACATCCCTTGACCATTTCTGTGTCTGACTTAACATCCTGTGACTAACAGATAGAAGTCTTTTGGAAGCTGGGCATGGTGGTGCACACCTTTAATCCTGGCACTTGGGAGGAAAGGCAGATCTCGGAGTTTGAGGCTAACCTGGTCTATACAGTGAGTCCAGGCTAGCTGGGGCTACAGGGAGACCCCATCTCAAAAAAAACACCAACTGAAGCAAAAACAAACAAAAAAAGCCCCCAGGAAACCAACCAACCAAACAAACAAACCCTTTTGAATGTGCTACCTTAAGCAGACCACCAGCTTCCCCCAACCCAAGGGCTCAGAAGCCTGTCAGACACAGCATCTAAGGCCAGTAGGATTCTTCCCACTTTGCTATAACCCACCTCTCTGAGGTCTTTGCCAATGTATTTGAAGTGTCTTGATTTGTGGCTTTGTTCTGTTACTATAAAAACTTTATGAAAATGTTACCAAATTGGAACATGGAATTTGGGTAATTTGAATCTGTTCCCAGGCCATGGTCACTCATATTTGGCTCCAGAATAAACCAACTCTTAACCCCTTGAGGTGAGAGTTACACTTTTGTGTCAACAGCGTGATATCCAGATGAAAAGACGTTCACTGACCGCACATATTGACTGTCTTCCGGCTTTGGTGTTGAGATTGACACAGTCCCACATGCGTGTGCACATCTCCCTCCTCACAATACCATCAGGCTGGGAGTGGCTGCTTCTCATCCTTTGTTTCCTGTCCTTGAAACAGTGTCTGAAAGCTCTGAAAGCTGCGGGTTTTGCCTTTGCTGACGTCAGATGAATCTGTGTCATGGCTGTGGTGGATTTAAGCAGCAGAAGAGCTTGTAAGAGGACAGTCCGCTTAGTTAACTCCCACTTTCACTGAAATATCATGAACGCAATGGATTCCTGTGTGAGGAGCAACCACGTGCCCACAGGGCTGGTGAGTGGGTGAAAGGCCTCCTTTAGTTACGCAGGATAGTTGAGGAGTGTTTGCAGTATTAACTAAGTCATATTACTCTAAATGTGCATATATGAAGATCTACATGTCAATGCATGAAGCATGGTCCATATTTTATAAAGAGAAACCAGAGATTAAGGAAAGGTCAAAACAGGGCCTGGTGCTGTGGGTCTGTAATCACAGTGTTATGGTGTCTGAGGTAGGGAGACTGCAGGTCTGAGGCTAGCCTAGTTCTAAGCTAGCCTGAGGTAAAAGTGAGACAGAAAAAGAAGCTCAGCAGTTTTTTGACTCTCAGACACAACTCTGCTCCTTGCACCACCACCCCAGGCTCCTCAGGGCCTGATGTAACACAGTGAACCTCTGTGGGAAGAGTTGTCTGCCCCCAGTACACAATCCCACATCCTTCTACTAAAAACTCCAAGTTTAAGAAGAAAAGTTCTAAATGAACATGGCAGCATTGTCTATACTTGAATGAGTGTTCTCCTTTGTTTTTTAAAACTCCAACACCTTCAGCCTTCCTATTTGGGCAGGCACGTTTCGTAAATGACAGTGAACTTCTCAAATGGGAAGAGTTGTCTGCCCCCAGTACACAATCCCACATCCTTCTACTAAAAACTCCAAGTTTAAGAAGAAAAGTTCTAAATGAACATGGCAGCATTGTCTATACTTGAATGAGTGTTCTCCTTTGTTTTTTAAAACTCCAACACCTTCAGCCTTCCTATTTGGGCAGGCACGTTTCGTAAATGACAGTGAACTTCTCAAATGGTCACCCAGTGCAGTTTCATGAAGACACAGGCCAGGCATAGAATCAAGAGCCTTCCTAAACAAAGTCTGCCTGGACACAAATGAGACACTTCAGCACCAGTGCTGATTGGCTCCTCTCCTAAGGCCAACCCTGAAAGCACAGAGGCACCCACAGACTTTTACTCTCTGAAGAGGGCACAGCAGGTGTGAGCTGTGTGGACCACCATTACCTTTTCCTGTGAGATGGCGCTGCAGATCCCCAGAAGCCTCCCTGCAGCAGCTGTGGTGGTGATGCTGATGGTGCTGAGCAGCCCAGGG